TAATAATTTTTTATTTTTAAAAATAGACAAATATTTTGTTTTAAATTTTAACTATATACTTGGCTTTTTGCTTTAATTATTTTTCCTATACCAAAAAGGTTTTTTCGATCTTTATTTATTTTTTAAGGATAATATTGATAAACTAATAAATTATCCTTAAGTTGTTAATTAAAAAATGAATTAAAAAGTAACAATTATTTTGAAATAAAAAAAACACTCTCATTTATTTTTAATAGTTTTAATTCGACTTTTAAATATAAATTTCAGATAAAAGGTAGTAATTTATATGAATCATAATTAAAAAGATTCTTTTTTTTTTGCTATATTAACTTCTTATTATTATTTAATAAAAAAATTTTAATTAAATTTTTATTTAAAATTTATGTCTAAAATATCAAAAAGTGGAATCATAACTATTAAAATTAAATGTAGAGAGAACCAGTAAATGTCATTGTCAAGAAAAGAAAAACCATAGGTTTACATGAAAGAATATTCAATATAAAATCCGAGCAATTTCTTGATTTTAATATAGGAAGGCACTTACCTGCCAGAAGTCAACATGTTGATGTGTTTGCTACCAAGAAAAGGAAATATATTGATAATTTACTACAATCACCATCATATATGTATCCCCCAATTGTTTTTAGATAAGAAGAAAACTACAACAATATATAAGAACTTTTAGTATGTTCTAAACTTGTGGTAATACTGATTAATACATGTTTAAGAAATTCCAGATTTGTTAGAGAATTGGTATAGGGGAATTGAGTTGGAATGAGTGAATGAGATCAAAGTCAGGCAAATTGAGGGGAGGCAGAGAAAAATGACTGTAAGTAGAGCTGCCTCTTCTAATTTCTTGCATGGTAAGTAGTGCAGCAACTGTATTCCTGAAAATTCCTTCCCCTGCTACAGTTATTGCTTCTTTTCTTTCTTTTGTTCTCTCTTCTTCCTCCACTGGGAACACTTCATCTATGGTGTTTTCACATTCCTTTACAAGCTTGGAAACAAGATCAGTAGTGAAAAATGGCTGCTGTAAAACCATCTTGATAAAGGGTGAGCGCAACAACCCTCCTGTTCTTTTGTCATATTTCTTCAAGATCTTAGCCAACCCTGCAAAACTCAACTTGTTAATTTTAATAAAATGAATTCGATTTCAAGAAACAGTATATTGGTATCTAGTGAGAGCAAAGGCCGAGGCTTAAATTATAGACTACCTGTGTAATTCATGTTGCTGTAATTCTCTAAGAGCACCATTTCGCCATGGAAATTGACAATATCTTTTCTAATTTTTCCCATCTCTTCTTTATACTTCGTTTCTGAAGGATGACTTCCATTAGATCCCCATGTATCAATCACCCTCTTAATCCTTTGTTGTAATTCCTACATGCCTTTTGTATTAGAAATTATAAACATAACAGCTTCTCTTTCAGTCAATGTTAGAGGTATTAATAGATTTGATATTACTTTTTATTATTATAGTAGATTCAGAACTTCAAATGCGATGTCTCAATGGTTAAAAATTTGACATTTTAAGTTAAATATCTTAATCTCAAACCTTGAGTCGGGCAAAGTGAGATTTAGAGAAAGAAAGAGTTGTCCCTTCTTGTATACCATATTCAGATGTACCAAAAAAAACAACAAATTATAGTAGATTAAGGACTTTGGCTATGTCCTCCCAATTTTTGCTTCTTTCTTTTTCTTAGAAGAGATGGCATAGATCTTGTCTCTGCTTCAATTGCTCTTAAAC